GAGAGAGAGAGAGAGAGAGAGAGAGAGAGAGAGAGAGAGAGAGATGAGCGATCCAAGATTGGTTGTCACTTACCTGTGAGGCGAGTTGCGTAGTCCGGTGGAGAAGGAAGACAGCGGCCATAGCCGCGGAGCATCAACACAGGGTACCGAAGGAGAGAGAGAGGGAGGACAGAGAAGGAGGGACTGAGGAGAGAGGGAGAAGTGTGGAAGGACATTGGAAGAAGACAGACATAGCCGAGGGTGAAAAAAAAAAAAAGGAAACAGCAGAAGAAAGACAGCGAGGAAGAAGAAGGTGAAGGAAGGGGAAGGAAGTGACGAGGGTGACGACGGTGAAGGTGCCGGCAGCCATAGCCGAGGTGAAGGGTTGACCAAGGGTTGACCAGAGGGTTGACCAAGCGTTGACCAAGGGGTTGACTGAGCATTGACCAAGAGTTGTCCGCGTTGACTCGACGTTGACCAAGGCGTTGACCGGGGCTGCTGACCAAGATTTTGACCAAGTTGGAGTTGGTGATATCTCGCTGAGCCCTTAACCTATCCCCTTACCCTGTGGATGTGCACACACCCTACGGTACTTGCTGAGTCTGAGTCTGTCTGTCTTTCCTTTCTGCATTGAGTCTCTTCTGTCCTAGGTGTTAGGACTCTGTGGATGAAGGATAGGGTTGGATGACGAAACCTTAGTTTGACTTTGTAGGGCTGAGGCTGGGGCTGATCCAACTTTTCAGGGGGGCATAACCCTCCCAAGGACCGGTGCTGACCGGCTGGAAACAGTTGGTAGGACTCAGTGGGCCTGAACGGCAGCTAAGGATGACACACCAGCCAGTCTTTAAGTCTTGAGGGCCTGTTTGAACCACCCCCCTACCGGACCAAGTAAGGTTGATGATCTGTGTCTGACGACTCGACTGTCCCAAGGGACACGAACCCCTCCCAAGACCGGTACAGACCGGCAGGCTGCTCGGTGTGGCACAGTAGGCCGGAAAGGCTGAGTTGTGGGTTGAAAGCACAGACAGAACCACGCTGATCACGTCGTCCTGACTGCGACGTTAAAAAATTCTTGCGGAGTTTGGGGGATCTCCTTAAATGCCTCCAGATCAGCTGTTGGTTTAGTAGTGACAGCCTTAGAGTAGTTTGAGTAGTGACCTTAGAGAGTCAGTTAGTGGGTCAGTGTTCGGGTAGGTCTAAGTGGTGAGGAGTGGGACTCTTGTCGTGCACCCGACACCACGATGGATGACTATCCGATGTATGGGTTTGCTTGTTGGGTTCTCCCTCTGGGGGACCCTCTGGCGTCTCCTCTTCCCTCTGGGGTTTTGGCACACCTTTACGTGTAGAGTTGATACCCGGGGTGGTACCTCCACTAAGCCATATACGAAGGAGGAGGAGGAGAAGATGGCCGCCATTGTGAGAGAGAGAAAGGAGAAGAAAGAGGCCAAGAAGAAGTCCCTACAGGAGGAGCAGGCGGCCAAGTTGAAAAAGATAGAGGAAGAGATGGCCAGAGAGAAGGAGAGAATAAAGAAAGAAGAAGAGGAGAAGTTGAAAGAGGTGGAAGAGGAAGAAGAAGAGGGACCGCCACTGGAAAGAAGGAGAGGGCAGCACAGTGGCAGCAAGGATGAAGAAATGGAGAAGCGGATTTCGGAGTGGGTCGCCAATTTATCCCTGGGCGAGGAAGAAGAGGTAACTATGTATATCCCCAAGGATGAGCAAGAAGCCGCTATGAAGAAATGGGAAGCCGAAGAAGATGTTCTGAAGCGGCAGGCGATGGAAGATGAAACGAGGATGGTGTGGAAACTCGCAATGATGAGGGAGAAGAAAAGAAGAGTGGAGGCGGCGAGTGCAGCAATGCAGAAATTGGCGGAGGTACGGACTTTAACTACTCAGTTGACCACCCAGGTAGACCTTCAACGAAAGGTGGAGATCATCGCCCAGAGCGTCGAGCGCTTAGCTAGAGTGCAAGAACAACAATATGAGTTTAGTCGAAGCCAGGATATAGCCGTGCGTTCGATGCGGATGGGATTCCGGGACTTTGCTCGCGAATTGGTAGGAGTTGTAGGAGCCGAGGTGAATCATTGCCTCGAAAAGACTGAGCGCTTTTGCGTCGGCGCCATTGAGGGCGTCAAGGTGGCAGCTCCCAAGGAGGAAGAAGCACGTCCTCGTTGGGAGCCGGTCAAAGTTAAATTCCCTGATTCCTACAGTGGAAAACGGGAAGAAAACTTTGACAACTGGGAGGCCAACGTCAAGACCTATGTGCATCTGCAACAGGTCTCCCCAGATCAGCATGTCTTGATTGCGATCCACGCGCTTAGAGATGAGGCCGCTAGTTTTGCAAGGTCCCTAGTTCGCGCCGCTAACTGCAATGATGATGTAGTTGCTTGCTCGTCGTTCACCCCCCTCACTGAGTTTATGAAATTATTGCGCGAGCGATTTGCTGATGTCGCCCGTAGTGTTAAAGCCTCAGACAGGCTGCAGACAATTCACACTCGCAAATGGAAGAGTGCCAGGGCGCTCAAGAGCACTATGGACGAATTAGTGACTGTACCTGACCACGGGGTCACAGACACCCAGTTGGTCGGCCTCTTCTACCGGGCTATGCCCGAAGCCTTTCGAGGGCATTTCTTCGCGAAAAGCGAAGATCCCACCACTACGTATGATTCTCTTAGTCGTGAAGTGGTGGCTTTTGAAGCTAAGTCTGTGTCAGTATCTACTTTCTGGCACAAAGACTTGGCACTATCTCAGGGCAGGTAGAGACCAAGGACAGCCTTGTCCTAACTTTAGATGAGGGTAGTGTGGATGAGATCCCCTACGACCAGATTGAGTGGGGGTTAGAGGAGGAGGACAGCGGTGTGGGCCAGGGGAGAACTTACGCTGCCGTCGCGGCTGGAGGAGGCCGCAAGGAGGAGGACGAGGCCAGGGCCAAGGGGGCCGGGCCTCAGGGAGCTGGTTTCAGGGCGACCATGGGGTTGGCGACAGAGGAGGAAACTTCCAAGCGGGAGAAAGGGGTCAAGGTCCCCCGCAAAACCGTCCTAGAAACAGGTCCCCCTATAGGGTAGGTGGATGGCACCCAGGGCTACCCGAGGGTAGGCCTTGGGAAACTTTGGGTCTGGACCAGAGTTTATGGCAACAGCGATTGGACCGGGGCCAGTGCATTTTTTGCGGTGACCTGGGCCATATCATCAAATACTGTCCTAAGTATCAAGAGACCCGAACGACTGCTCAAGGGCCAAAAGGCAGCCGCCGGTAGGGGTAGCAACTGCCCCTACCATCAGGCCATGTGGGGAAAATAGCGCTAGCCAGCAGGAGACTCCCACACCACATGTGCCTATGGCAGAGGTTGCAGGCCGGTGTCTAGATAGCTGCCCAGAGACTGCTTGTGTTAGGGTCTCTCTAGACACCTCCCTCACAGGCGTGGCCAAAAAATTGAAGGAGAGGATGCCCGCCTGGGCCAAAATGAAAAAGGAGAATAAAGGGCAGCTTATATTGATAGATACATAGATTTTTAGAGGTAGAGTTGGCGCCTTAGTGGATAGTGGAGCCACTCATAGTTATATTAGTAGGAAGGCGCTACATAAGTTGAAGTTGCAGTTAAAAGTCCAAAAGTTACCAGACCCTGTAGTCAGTATCCTTGCAGATAATCGCACGATGCGAGTAGAAGACTACGTAGAGGGAGTCCAGGCGTATTTCCGCCTAGAGAAGGATGGGAAAGTAGAGAAAGTTCTCCGTTCCCTGACTCTCCTCATAGAGGATAGCCTCCCATTCGATATAGTCCTGGGTATGGACTGGGGAGAGGCAGCCGGGGCCGCACTCCACTTGAGGGAGCATGAGTGTAGGCTCCCTAGCCCGTCAGGCGATGTCAAGACTGCGCGCCTGTACCATGTGTCAGGAGTAGATAACTCCTTGGCACATTGCTGCCTTAGTGCTCCTGCATTTGCACGACTAGTGAAAAAGGAGCAGCTAGAAGAACAGGTTTTCGTAGCCTATGTTAGGCCAGTCACTGAGCCTAAAGAAGAAAAGCCTATAGACCCTGCTATTGCCAAACTGCTGGAAGAGTTTAAGGACCTAGCTGAGCCGCCGACAGGAACAGTGCCGCGGCCCATCCAGCATCGTATTGAGATAGAGCTTGGCAGTAGAACTCCTAAGGGCACTGTGTATTGGATGTCCCCGCGGGAGTTGGAGGAGCTTCGCAAGCAATTGGACGAGCTCCTTGAAAAGGGTTGGATTAGGCCCAGTTCATCTCCTTTTGGAGCACCTGTTCTCTGTCCCCAAGAAGGAGGGAGAGCTAAGGATGTGTATAGACTATAGGGGTCTGAATGCTATCACAGTGAAGAATGCTGAGCCACTGCCTAGGATAGATGATCTCCTAGATAGAGTGCAGGGGTGCAAGTATTTCTCTAAGATAGATTTGAAGTCTGGATATCATCAGATAGAGGTTCACCCTGATGATCAGTACAAGACCGCGTTCCGGACTAGATATGGGCATTATGAGTTTATAGTAATGCCCTTTGGACTAACCAATGCGCCAACAACTTTCCAGCGGTGTATGAATGACCTGTTTAGGCCTTGGTTAGATAGGTTTGTCGTAGTTTATCTGGATGATATCTTAGTGTTTAGYAAGACCCTCGRAGAGCATYAGGGTCATCTYAGGCAGGTCTTGGAGAAGCTGAGGGAAGCTAACTTYAAGATCAACGCAAAGAAGTGCGAGTGGGCGAAGACCCAAGTTTTGTATTTAGGCCATGTCTTAGACGGAGACGGCATCAAGCCCGAAGACAGCAAGATTGCAGCGATTAGAGATTGGCCGACACCGCGTACGTTGACAGAGTTGCGGTCGTTCTTAGGCCTGGCAAACTACTATAGGAAGTTCGTGAGGAACTTCTCCACCATCACTGCGCCCCTTCGCAGATTACTCAGGAAGGAGACCATCTGGAAGTGGGATAAGGACTGCACGTCTGCTATGAAGAAGTTGAAACAGGCGTTGATAGAATATCCAGTCCTTAAAGTAGCCGACCCGTCCTTGCCCTTTGTCGTCACTACGGACGCTAGTCAGTACGACATAGGTGCTGTGTGGCAGCAAGACGATGGCCATGGTTATAGGCCGGTAGAGTTCATGTCCGCCAGAATGCCTTCAGAAAAGGTCGCGGCATCTACCTATGAGAGGGAACTCTTCGCTCTCAGGCAAGCCTTAGAACACTGGAAACACTACTTGCTTGGGAGACACTTCAAAGTCTATTCCGATCATGAGACGTTGAGATGGTTAAAGACGCAGGCCAAGATGACACCTAAGCTTACTAGGTGGGCCGCAGAGATAGATCAGTATGACTTTGAGCTCAAGCCAGTCAAGGGGAAGTATAACGTTAATCTGATCTGGCCTAATGTACATGCGCAGAACTTGCTGTAGGATCTTGTTCATCTGCTCTGTCTGACCGTTAGTCTCAGGATGGCGGCCAGACGACATCAACAACTTAGATCCATACACTCCCATGAGTTCTTGCCAGTTCTGGCTGGTGAAGCGACTATCTCTATCGCTAACTATTGACAGTGGGATTCCATTCTCACTAACCCAGCAGTCAAAAAACTTTTGTATCACTAAATTTGTACGTGCCTCTGACGGCAAGGGCACAAAAACTGCATATTTGCTAAACCGGTCAACTATGACCATGACTTGGCTCTTACCATGCCTACTCTTGACTTGGGTGTCCATGAAGTCGATGGACACTGAGTCTCCCGGCTGATCTGGAATGGGCAAGGGTCTTTGAAGACCTAGCGGGGCGCGCGTCCTAGTCTTATTACGCTGGCAAACTTTACAACTGCGGACATATTCTACGTAGTCATTCTTCATCCCTGTCCACGTGTATGCGCGCATCAGATTGGCTAACGTCTTTTGCCAACCAAAATGACCCTCTGTGTCATGCCATTCTCCCAAGATCAGACTTCGGACCTCTTCACTATTGGGAATGCACAGACGGTCAAATACATTACTCTTCTCAAAGAGCAACCCTTCAGTAGTGCGGTAGTTCGGCTCAGTCTCTGGGGCCTCCTTGACCCTCTTGAGGAGGTCACTATAGATAGGATCCTGCGCATAGGCTTCTCTAATCTTCTGCTGCAGGTCCTTCCCTATGTCTAGGTAATGCACTATTGCCCCAAAGTAATCGGCTCTCCTACTCAGAGCATCCGCATGAGATGTTGCCTAAAGTAGCTAGCGCGTATAATAACAGCGTGCATCTGTCCACCTGCCGCACTCCCAACGAACTGCATAAGTCCTTTAGACCACGCAGACCGTTTGAGGGACTCAACCGGGATCAGATTCATAGATTACCGCCCGGGACCAGGGAGTTTGCTGTACAGCACGAGAAAGAACTAGCTACTGTTGTAGAGAACCTCAGGGAGGCCCAGCACAAGATGATAGAACAAGCCAACAAACATCGTCGCCCCTCACAGTTCCAAGTAGGCGACTTAGTCTGGGTCAGTTCTAAAGAGTTTGCACCTGAGGAGAACATCTCGCAAAAGTTACTGCCCACCTATAGAGGACCGTGGCCAGTCTT